TACTTTTAACTGCCAGCTAGTCTCCTCTATACACCTCGCTTCCTATAGGTAATTTCACTGGATCCAAGTAATTCTGTCTATGTTTCCGTGTTTTCTGTTTATACATATATACTTACATTTACATCTAGACTTAGGATACCTTGTAGGTAATTTAGTGTGAATCTTGCCACTCGTGAATCTGTAATTAAGTTGCTGTTTTAATCATGCCATATTTTAGTGAATCACCTTGTTAATCTTTAAATTGGTTAATGATTAAGTGCTGCTAAAATTTAGCCTTACACCATTAATAAATTTGGAATGGCTGCTAAATCATAACTGTGTGAGATAGTGCATCCGCAACAGGAAGATACAGCGGCAGGCAGTAAAAGAAAGTCTGTCATAGGGTCAGACATTGCTACAGAAATCACTAAAATAATCACATCAATGAATTCCACTTTAAAGGGACAGTAACTACATTAGTCTACTGTCTGAAGCTCCACAATCCTCCAGTAGCATTCAGTCCTGTTTTATATCAACTCTGCTTTAACAAAACAACTTTTTACATTTGTGTAACTTATGAGTTCTCAAAAGATACAGGTGTATGCTCATGTATGTGCATACCCTATATATATAAAGATATATATAGATATATATGCACACACACACACTCGGAGAACTGGAAAGACATGCTAAACAGAGTAATCATATAATCCTCATTTTACGTATGAACTCTCATGATATTTAGGCTTTTAAGTTAGATATCTGTCAACAAGGCATCCAGGAGATTACACTAAGTTTAGACTCATCAGTGTAGTCCATCAGTGCAGCATAGTTCATCTAGGGGTTTTATCTTCACAACTATCAATATTTTGATTCTTGAGACATTTTGGAACATTCCCCTTTCAGTCTATGTATCCATGCTTTTTCATCCCACAAAAAGCAAGGAATAAAGGCGGGGGGGAGACTAGGGCAAGATGGTTTTGACCTAGGTCATTAATAAATTAAATTCAGGAACTTCCTGACACACATAACAAACCTAAAGATTCAAAATTCTGTCTATCTCCCTTAACAGTTTATTTTTTCTTTAAATACAACAAATTTGTTTCCTTTATGCAGTTCTGTACGGGCATAATGAAAACAAATCTACTATTTCCTAACAAACATTCCACTGAGATGGAATTACAGTGATCTGCACTGATACCCTGTGTAACACAGTCTATGGTCTGTAACATCAAAGACTTTAGAAGCTTATGTCATTCAGTAAAAAAACCAGTTGGTAACATGGAGACATACGAGGCCTATGATTCTCTCGCTATACAGTAATAAACTGTTTCATCAATTATATTTTCATTGTCTGCTTATTTTTATTGTAGATTCAAACACATACACATCCAATGTTACTATCAACAGTCATTTATATTTCAATACACCTTCTTGTAAGGCCAAATTAAAAGTTCAGGAAATATTTTTAAAATTCTTCTTTCAGTCCAGGTTAATCCTCTTGTCTAGTCCTCACTTTAAATCATGTCAGTGAAAACAAACTAAATGACTTGTCACTCGAGTAATTTACTAAATGCAGCACTGGAAGCAAAGAGTTACACAAACAGCTCAAAAAGCAGGAATTACGGTAACTATATACGGTTCAATTTAAAACTAGGAAACCTCCGACCTACAATTCAAAGGAGAAACAGTCAATGTTTTTTCTACAGTTACAGCAACCCTGGAAAACCTGGAAGACATTTACTTCCTTACTAAACTTTCCCATTGTAGAAAGCATTTTCAATGAAAGGTAAAATGCAATTTTTTTCCCAGCAGAAACAAGAACTGGAAATTCATCAAGTCAGAGATAAGAATTGATTCCTCAGTAGATTCACTAACTGATCAAACCTATTCTGGACTTGTATGTTTGCTGATGGACACTCAGCTTACAATAATTCAGTCTGCAGACCTCCACAGCCCAAGTCCAGGGCAAATCTTCTAAAGCAGGCTTATCTAGGTGAAGGATGCAGGATTCCAATTTTTCCAAGGACAGATATGAATGTGAAAAAAATATGGAACCTAGAACCTAAACTACACCTAGAGCATAATTTGGCTACGATTCACCAGTTTTAACTGTCATTACCAGTCATCCATCTTACCACGCTCAGTAGCCAGCTTACTCCAATTATAATAAAAAAAGACTACACTAAATGAAAGGATAATTTCTAAAAATACATTTGTATAAAAAGTGTAGGACCATTCCACACCACTGAACTTATTCTAAAACATCAATAGTTTGTGGCTTGCAACATGACTATATCAAGCTGCTTAAATCTCATCCTCCAAGACTGGTACCTGCTTTGGAGATGTTTTTCTTCAAAATTGGCCCCATTGATAGTAATCCAAGTTTTGACAATGCAAGCAATGATCATAATACTATGATGGAACGCTACATTGTATTTTGCATAAGCTACAAATAAATTATATAAATTGATACTAGTGGTGTTTGAGAGCTGAAAGTAATTTCTGACAAAAAGAGTATTTACTGTGGGAAAGGCACACAAGTTATTTTGGATTGTTCTTTCACGCATAACTAAGATGGTACTTGTACTTCAAAACAAAACTTCACAAAACAAGTTACTACATTCACAGAGAAGTTAAGTGATTTGGCTTGTGAACGGTTTTCATATCCTGGGGTTAAAAAAACCCCACCAACAACTTCCAGGGCCTGAGCCTTCTACACAACAAATTAATGCGAAGTCTGTTACTAACTTCAAGAGACTGCTGTTTAGAGCCCAGCAACACACAAAATTGAAAAAAAACCCCACAACAAACATACAAGGTATTAGCACATAAACCTATGGAGCACAGTTACTCTATTATGCACACATATGTAAGCTGTGCTATTCGCACAGGAATAAGAATAAAAAAAACAGTCACTACTTACATCAAATTCTACTGCTCTAATAACATACTTCTTTATGGAACCCTTTTTGTATTTGATCCATCAAGAAGGCTGTTTTCAAAATAAGAGTTCAACATTTAGGTAGGATAAGAACAGACTTTGTCTCTCCTTCAGGAAATCAGGGAAGACAAAAAAGGAGCGGGACCTTTGGAAACCTTTAAAGATAAAAAGCACAAATCTTTTAGGCACAAAACTTTAGTCATGGTGGAGCACAGGAAGAGGAAGACAAATATTTCTGAACAAAAGGAGCTTAATAAAATGATGATACCATATTTGTCCTTATAAATACATAAAGATATTAACATGTTCTTATTGGAAAACAACATGGAAAGCCACAAACAAAAAATCCTGCTTTCCTTCTTACATGTAAACAGAATTCTCAGGTAGTTTTTCCATTTTGATTCTTTAAAAAGCTGTAGGAAGTAACTAGAAAGTCCAATTAGGCTATTAATGCAAAGACTTTACAGGGATCCAGACTTTTTGCACTTCTAACTAGGAATTTATAAGGAGTTGCTCATGTTGTTTTCACTTAAGAACACAGCATCTAAGTTACTGTCACATACAAAGGAAATGCCTCCACAGAGAAACTTCTGGGGCCCACGTTCTTCATGGCTAGTTCTCTATGGGTAAGTATTATCCTACCTAAGTGACTTAAATAATCCTTAATCTAGCAGAATTTACAAGAAAAATAACATTGAACCACTTCTGCTACCTAAGTTACTTAACACATTTTTATCTTAATTTTAAATATTTCCAAGAGAGATTAAAGATTATTTCCTTGAATGGCACAGCTTTGGGTACCTGCTGTTTTTATATACAGTATATATATTTGTTTATAAATAACTGTGTAACCAGAAGATTGCACTTGGAAAATTACAATATGATGTTTCAACACATTTGCAGCATGAAGTCTAACTGGAAGGAGTGCTCTAGCTTTCCATGCAGCAGTGCATAGCAGATGCTTCTGATTTATCATTTTCTTTTTGCCCTTAAGCATGTGTTCACACAACCATTCTTCGAATTCCACACTCGCAGCAAAACTTCGCCCATTCCACTGGATACTTTGTTCCACATTCATGGCAGAACTTTGATAACTGTCCAGGTGAATTTCCTTCGCTGCTTTTTGAACTTCCTCCATTCACTGAGGATGGGCAGTCTCCACTGTCATACCCAGTTTTACCATTAGACCTGAAAATCCGCAGATAAAGAACATTCTCTGTAACTCAGTTCAGTATAACCTGGTACAAAATTACTCTAACTCTTGCAGTGAATTACTGCTATTGTTACTGTCATTTTCATGCTTACACGTCCTATTTATTTACAGCTGTGTATACCTTACTACTGCTATTGTTACAGTCATTTTCATGCTTACACTTCCTATTTATTTACAGCTGTGTATACCTTATAACTTTACCCAGACTCCCTGCAAGAAAACAAAAAAAAAAGAAGCCAAAATTTTAGGAGCAGTATCAAATATTTGTTTCACCAATTAAATTAACTAGAGTGTTTGAAAATTTAAAACTTAGCTTGCCAAAACAAGAAAGGCTGAAATAGCAATATTATTTTTATCCTACCCTTTAAAAGGCCACAGAACAATTTGTGTGCTTAGCATGAAAATTTAATTAAATTTCAACTGAACCACTCACTTCCCATTTGAAAGACCATTCACTCATTTTCAACAGCTCCTAAGAGGTTTTTGACATCTCTTCCATGCACATCTGAGACACAAAGGTGTTCTGTTAGCTGATAAATATACAAAATATAGAGTATCTTAAACATGCCAAATAATATTGACCATGAGTTACCTATTAACTGCAGAGTACAATATTTCCCCAACTTCTTTTGTAATAAGTACTCCCCTTTAATGAAGGTTCTATTGCTGACAAAATCCACAAAGTTAAAAGCTACCTTGAGTAACTGTCTGAATTGCTAGTTTTTCTTTTGTTTGTTAGAGCACCCGTGCTCATGGTTCTTGCCACACTAGGAGGGGTTGATGTCCGTGTTTTTGTTGAGCCTCTAAAACAGAATAAATATCTGATGAATTATATACACAAAAATATATACAAGAATATGCATTTACAAATAATTTAAAAAATAAGTTCAACAATCTACACATCAACTATTTATATGAAAAACAGAACTTATTTCCTACCAAGTGGAGACAGAAGAGCTTTGGCATGAACTTGCATGGTTTGGACTGAATATGACTTGAATCTTACAATAAGAAGCTAAACAGAAAAGTCCCTTCTTGTTCACGTGTCTCACTTGCTATCACAGCAAAATAAAGGTAGATCCTGCACTACTGGTTCCATAGTATGCTCTAATGTCTACTTTGACAGACTACAAGTTGCTTTTTAAGACCCACAGGGCTTTCAGAGGAACAGAGAGCACCTGACTGCAGGTCTTAATAGTTTAAAAAAATGTAGAAAGAATACCATATTCTCAATGCTTTCTGACCAATATGAAGTGAGTCACAAGACTTTTTCTTCATAGTCACAGACTTTACTTAGGAGGCATACTTCTTAGATAATGCTGTAGATCCTCTTTTCTTCAAAGCATAAATATTATATTTATAAATACGAATAGAAAGAGGAGAGGAAAGTAAGTATATCCAGCTCGGTATTAGGGCATAATTTTTTTCTTGCCTCTCACAGTATTCTTAAAGTTGGCTTCAACAGTATGACCACACATGAAAGCTGCTTTTCTCAAGACAAAACATACAGAACATGTCACTGCTTGTTTGATGAGTAGAGAAACATCAGAATCCTCTGCAAAATCTGAGTAGCATTAAGCAAAAAAAAGATAGGAAGGAATATCCTTTTATCACCAGTGACCAAGGCCAGAATTTTTCCTCACTGCTCAAAAGAATTACCATTCCCCAGGATTCCTTTTTTCTTTGGCAAGACTATGTGACCATGACATCTTGTGCACGACCCATCAAGTTTTTGCTGTTCTCATTCTTGAACACTGATGCATAAATGAAATTTAAGTTGGGACTGGCTCATGGACATTAAAAAAAATTAAAACAAGACTCCATTTAAAAAATTAGTCATCAAGAGCCCAGTCAGCAACAAACATCCAAAAGTGATTTTTATTTTTTTCTTCTTCCCTTCAGATGAACCTAACTGCTCCTTTCAGAATGATAAATCACTTGTCTTGGTTTGTTTTTCTAAGTATTTATAAGGAAATGCATTCAACTCCAGTAACTTAAATGCAACACTGACAGCTAAGTAACAATGTATTAACTCCTGAATTTTAGACACGTTGCATAAAACATTTCTTCCATCATGTTAAGAGCATAGGCTAAAGATGGCTTTTCAGCTCCTTCCATCACTTAAACACTGAAGTGGAAAACTGATCAAACAATTAAGCACAGAAGTGGAAATCACAAACTAAATTTAAGATTAAATCAAGTGAAACTATATCTAACTAAAGTATTCAAGTTTAACAGGAATGACTTCTACATGCAACAAGTAGAGTGGAACCATCAAAGATTCTGGCTCACTGGGCAGAACACCAACCTTCTCCATTAGTTTTCCTTTCTCCCCTCTTATTTAGCAAGGAGATTCTAAAGATGGTTTTACTTTGAAAAATACCATGCAGACTGAAAAGCACTACCTAAGTTATATCAGAATTAAAACATACTAAAAGTTATGTCCATCTTTCAAAAGTTACAGCATTCCAGGATAAAAGTTCTAACTGTAACAAGTACAGATGATAAATAATCTTGTGTTATTTCCCCCATCTCATTTTACACTGAAGAGAGACCTTTCCTCATAATTGAGTAAAATTTGTTAGAGCTCAATAGTGGAAAAAACATACCTGACTGTTACTTTACTTGTTATGGAAGCTAGAATCATATAGAATCATATCATAGAAAAGCATACAAAGAAAAATTCAGCTGTAGATATAGAAATTGTATAGATCATCACGGATAAGCATTGATCAGACAATGACGTAAGGAACAGAATTCTGTCTCAATTCCTGTTTAGACAACTCCAAGTAATTTAAAACAAGGAATTTAAAATTATTACTGACTTAGTTTTCTCTGGATTTTCAACCTGGGACCAACATACTACTTTTTCAAAACTAACAGCATTAATTTCTTAAGATCTCTTCAGGGTGTACTTTAAATCAATCATTTTTGAACACAATGCTAAGAGTCCTAGATATCTGAAAGAAATTAACATGAAAAAATTGCCCACTATTCTTTCCTGTATTTCAACTATTCACTTCTCTAAAATATGTATAATACACTTTCATCCAACTAGGTACACCTGATGCTTTAATACTAGATGTATACTAGAGAAATTTCCCATAAATTGGTGTCTTAAAAACACGATTTGAACCAGGGGAAAAAAAAAAATCAAAGTATTGAAAAACCACATTGAAAGCACACTGTCCACCCCATCTATTGAGGGAGGCAGAGTCCCATGAACAGACAAAACATCATTCATTGAAGGTCCAACAGGACACCTTAATTCTGAAATGTTTAAACATAGCCTTCTGCATAATTTCTACTGATTTTTTTCCCAATTAGTTTTTTAAAAATACAGGAAAACAAATCTATTTTCAGAATAGAAACTTTAATATGAGTCTTATAATTAACTGCAATGATTTCTGACATTTTGACGAGTAAAACAACAGAAGTAGCAGGCTGCCACTGCAACTTTATTCATCTCAGATCTAAACACATAATTAGTGTCAGGTTTCGTGTGTATTTTATGGCAAATCTTGAAATTGCATCCTTAAGTTGCATCTGATCTCTAGAGTCAGATGTCTTCCAACAAAATCAGACATTCCTGATTATCTCAACTTTTTTCACCACAGCTTTGTCTCTTTCCATCTGTCCAGCCTCTACCACTTCTATCTACTTGTCCAGTTCTGTTGTTTTTTCTATTCAGTTCAAATTTTTGTCTTGTTTTTTTTTGTTTGTTTTTTTTGTTTTTTTGCAAAGGTATGTAAGTCCCTGTTCTAAGTTGTATCATGTGAAATTTAATGGAGCCTGACAGCAGACGAGGCAGTGTACCAATGCCACCTTGAACTCTTAAAATCAGGACATACTTTTAAAGACGTTTATTACCCATTCTCAATTTCAACAGAAATAAGATTGAAGGGGATCCCCCTTCCTAAAGAAGCTCATGTTTCACATCTAGTTGAATTACCACTGCTTGCAAAAATGAAAAACTGAAAGAAATTTGTAAAAGAAGCTTGCCTTTTTCTGTTTACACATTCACAATTTGTTTGGATTTTGTTACAAAATACTGAAATATCAAGCTTGCTTCCTAGTCAGGGCATTTTCTGATATTCTGTCAGAAATCACCACTGTCACCCACAACAGCTCATAGCTCTGTGCAAATCATAAATAAGTTCCTTATGACTAATTGCATACACACCAAAGCCCAGAAACTTTTGCCATGAACTGTAACCCCCCACACTGCTATGCTGAATTTAACAATGGCCAGTAGCTATTCACATTTGCCCAGTGCTGTTGGCACATAATGTATTGGATATCGTCCTGCAAGGAAGGCAGACTTAATTCACAAACCCAGTGGACATTTCAATAAGTACAACAGTGATGTTAGAAGAGCAGAATAAGTGCCTATACTCTTAAAGAAGTTCTCTCAAGCAGAAAAATCAAATCACTGCTCTATAAATAGGGGCTACTGTAAGCATGTTTAGTAACTCAGCCAAATTTTCAACACCTTAGTAATGTTTTATAAAATGAAAAACTAACCTAATTTTTGTGGTTCACAGGATTTATAGCTCTAACGAAGCATGCAAGGAAACAAAAGAAAAAAATATTCTATTTGTCTAAAAAGAGCTTCCCCCCCTTCATTCCTTTCGCTTCTTCAAATAGAAACCCAAGTTCAAATATTCTGGCCCCACCTCAAAGATGGGTTTGGTTACAACACTAAAACAGCATTAAGAGATTGAGACACATTTCCACTATTTAAAGCATTCCATTCCATGTACGTGCCACATAATCCATTACTAATCTCTCTCTTGGAATATGCTTTAACATAATGTTTATGAAGAATCAGCCCATTTGAATTTGGCATCTTCCTAATTATATGTAAGGGTTAACTACAATATAGTATCTATTCCCTTTTTGAAAGATTGGTATACCCTTTCTTCCAACCTTACGTCTTAAATTTGCTGAATATTCTGAAATCTTTACATGAGAGAAGTTGGACTTAATAAAAGACTTTACCTTTCATTACAAAGTCTGCCTTGCTCACATTCTTGGACCACAGCTATCTTACAGAAGTAGGAGAAAAATAAACATTTGACTTTAAGAGAATAAAATTACTTTGTCATTAAACATTTGCCTGTAAGGCAGATATTTGTACAGTTATTAGGCTTAAAAGCTTACTTCAGCTTTATGTCATGAAAATTCACTTTATCTTAGGTTTACAAAGACAGAAGTTCATTATTCTTTGTCTATAATCAGTCAGTGACAGAAGAACTCAAATCTGAGAAGTCTTCACCTTTCCTGTCCTAATATGAAGCTGTGTACCTGCATGAAACGGGTACTTACAATAACTATATTATACACCTTTCTCTCACAACACTTATATTGAAGACATACTGGGCAGCAGATGTCTGTCAAGGTCACATTTTTACTATTCCAAAGCTTTGGAGGAACATTTCTGCAAAACAGAAAAACCACGCTGATTTGTAATACTTACTTCTTTAAAGGCAACAATTCATTTGGTCTTTTGATGGTACTGTCTGTTTTTGTATCAGTGTCATTAAACCTTTGCACATGTCTTCCAGTTCGCAGTGATGAGCCTAACTTGTCCATTTTACTACTAAAATATAAAGGGGTACTCATAAGTAGACTGCTAGATCACTATTTAAGTTATCGCAAAAAAAAATTTTAAAATAGTACTCATAATTAAATACTTATATTCCCAAAGAATTCCCATTGACTAAAACAAAAAAATACGTACAAATCAGACTTCAATAATTCAGCAAAAAAAGGTTCTTCTTACTTTAAGGAGAGGAGTATTTCATAAATTTATATTTGGATTAGGTTTCCAATGTGCATATATACATATATTTTTTAAACAGGACAGAAAAACTAACGCCAGTTATCCTCACAATCTCCTCAACGCACCCACATTTTGCCTTTTTTCTTTTAAGAATAGCTTTTATAAAATTGATGACATCTAGAAAAGGAGGCTCATAATTACAAGTCATAGTAACTTTACTAAGATGTTAGAAAGTAACAGCAATGTAAGTACAAGCCTCCTTAACTTTAAAATTTTTCCTTTTCCACTTCTTTTTTTTTTTTGGTAAAGGCTGAACATTGTGCCCAGAGAGAATAATAAGCCTTCCATTCTCTTTTCTTTTATGGAGATGAGAAAAGAAGAAAGAAATGACCAAAAGAAAAACAACTTTGTTTTAATATCAAAAAACCCACTCACAATAGATGGCACTATACATACAGGTAATATTTATACTTTTTTACTACTATGGATAGCATTTACAAATAAAAAGAGTAAATAAAAAAAATCAAACTTAAAGAAAAAAAAACAAACACCAAAATAAAGCAGCTACCATCCCTCCCTCCCACACATCTCTCAAGACTCCACCTGGAGTACTGTGGGGCCCCCAACATAAAAAAGACCTGGACCTGTTGGAGAGAGTCCAGAGGAGAGCCACAAAAATGGTCAGAGGGCTGGAGCACCTCCCCTATGAGGACAGGCTGAGAGAGCTGGGGTTGTTCAGCCCGGAGAAGAGAAGGCTCCGGGGAGACTTAATAGCAGCCTTCCAGTACCTGAAGGGGGCTACAGGGGAGATGGGGAGGCACGCTTTATCAGGGAGTATAGTGAGAGGACAAGGCGTTAACGGCTTTAAGCTGAAAGAGGGTAGATTTAGATTAGATATTAGGAAGAAATTTTTCACTGTGAGGGTGGTGAGACACTGGAACAGGTTGCCCAGGGAAGCTGTGGATGCCCCATCCCTGGAGGTGTTCAAGGCCAGGCTGGATGAGGCTTTGAGCAACCTGGACCAGTGGGAGGTGTCCCTGCCCATAACACGGGGGTTGGAACTCGATGGTCTTTAATGTCCCTTCCAACCCAAACCATTCTATGATCATCATAAAAAGAACTGTAGCTACAGATATAAAAAAAAGTTATACTAGAAAAATCAGATCTTCAAGTAAAGTTTTATAAGGTTTATAAAGTTTCCATAGTCTTAAACTATACAGTAAACCTGCAAAAAGACCATAATGTCCCCACCCCACCTCAATAATGTAACAGAAGTTTCTTCTTATTCTCAAAAAAAAGCCCAGTAACATAAGCCTAACTGGAAAATGATGACACAGAGTATTTTTATTGATCTTTCTGAAATTAAAGAACTATAAAGAAACAAATCATGCAAAATTGATGGAAATGTCTAGGTAGCTGAAGCTGAGCCCTTCTGCAAGTTCCCCCCCTCTTAAAGGGAAGTCACACAGGAAAAACAAACAAACAAACAAACAAACAAGCAAAACCAACAAAACATATCCTCACACAGAGAGAAAAAAATTCTTAAAATTTCTGCGCAGTTTTCTGATCCTTGTCATACAGCCTTAATAAACTACAATGCCAGGAAAACTACTAAACAGCTATTTGCTGTCAAGGAAGTGTATGAATTTCAATATAGCTTTTAATATATACATATATATAAAAGGATCTTCTGTATCTCCAATACCTATATCATACTACTTTTCATGCTCCTTCTAGAATAACATCATATTAGAAGGCACAGAACCTATAAAGTTTGCAACATAATTTGGTTTTTTTGGTAAGCTTCTGGTATGCACCTTGCAATCCACATCACATCAGTAAAGCACCAAAAGAAATCTCCCCATAAGGAACCAAAATGCAACAATGCTAGATGATATTCATTCACTATAAAGTCAGCAGGGAATACTGAGATTTTAGTCTTGCTAATTTAGTTCCAAATAATGCAGGCTGAAAGATAAGTTTCTCTGGAGTTCCTCTTCCCACTCCTCCTCCCAAACAGATGATGTAGTTCAAACTAATTAACTCAGGAAATGCTTAATCAATTCCTGTTCGACCAAATACACACTCTTTATATATTTCTCAAGGACTGAGAGGCAAAACTGAGGTCTTTGACACGGCAAGGAGCATACTCCAGCCTATCATGATTTTCTTAGCTCTTTTCTGAACCTTCCAATAATTTATCAACGTAATCTGTCAACTCCAGGCACCTAAAGCATATAACACTGAAGACAATAACCTAGAAGCAGTTATGATAGTGTCAGAGAACTACAGCATTCTTCCACACTTAAAACCAAAAATCCCAAAGCTGACAGCTCTTTCATGTACTAAAGAAAAAAAAAGCACAATTGCAAGAATCTTCTAAAATCCAAACACCACCAAGACAACTTCTTATTTACACTGATTCCATTGAACAAAGTTGTGTAAATTATAGTTTTAAGGAAAGGAACAAGCTATTTTAAAAATATCACGTTTTTAAGGGCTACACATGCTGTGTGGCAAATATTTAAGCAGAATTTAAAATTTACTGGTACTGGTTAGGTGTGCCATTCATACTGCATTTCAGTTGTAAGACAATAGTGGATGTGCCACTAACAGACATGATTCTAGGATCAACTTTGATCAGCTGAACATTAAAGAGCTTGCTTTGTCCACAAAATAAAATCAAAATGATGAAGTCCATTCACCATAATGAAAAACATCATACAATTTTCCAAGTCCCAGTAAAAAAAAAACAAACTGTTCATAAATGAAACATGCATGGACAATCTGTACATGCAAAAGATCCCTGGCTATCCACAAACAGTGGTGTCAAGTTCTGCTAGGCAAAACAGCTTGTGTGTGGGAGTGGAGTTTGTCTGCTTGCTTAGCCTTCAGATAGGAAGAAGAACCTACCCAATTTTTTCTCCTGGAGATCTGATTACTTCTGACAGCTTACTAGAACTTCCCTACTCCTCAATAAATGAAAAACAGTGCTACACTCTGTAGTCTTACAAAATATGTACCAAACTCAGGATCTTAACATGATTCACTATCAAAATATAAGCCTAACTACAATTTATGTAGAATTATTTTTCCTTTTCCCAGTTCTTCAACATCAAAAAGACTAAATCCTATTTTCACACAAGTGAATAAAGGTTTTTGTACTGACTACAATAGAGTCACATGCTACTCTTGCACTCTCACTTGTGTTTCTAGGACTCAGAAATGATGCTCTTTTACTACACTTCCATTAATACTTACAACTGACTGTGTTCTTACTCTGTCCAGGCAGAAAAAGAAAACTCTCACAGCAGAGCTCAGCTGACACATCCTGATCTACGTGTACAAAGTAAGCCTTGCTAACCTAGCTTATGTTGATGATGCTGTGGTGCGTTCTCTCAGTAGTCCTTTACTTGGGGAGAAGAACAGGAGAATTTAAATTAAAAAAAAAAAATAGTATAGCGAAAATGACTTGAAATAAAGGAGTTCATAAAATTTGGCCACATTTCTACTCATACAAAATAAAAACTTGTACTGTGATACTGAAGTTGAACTTTATATGAAATGAAGTTCAAGAATACTTCCTTTACAGGACCAAACACCTTGGAGATCCTTCATTTTAGCCTTCACCTTTACCACAAACACATAACAGCTTCATGTGCCTTTCACAATAGTTTCAGGCAGCAGTTCAAGAGTGCCACCTAAAGAGCCAGAGTGAAACTGCATGCCTGTATATTTTAATAACTTCTGGCTGTTATATTAGCCAGCAGATAGTCGTTTCTTGCCCTTTTGCATAACCATCACAGAGAAGAGGTACCACGATTCTCCAGAACAAAGCAGAGTCTGACTAAACTGCCCCCCTTCAATATACATATAATTGATCCTTGATATTGCACAGTGTAATTGTAATTCTACTATTAAGCCTCACTACCTCTCTTGACAAATCTGCTATTACAACAATCTAGGCAAAAAACTGAAGGTTTCACTTAATTAGTATGTAAAAACCAAAAAAATTATAGTTTGCCTTAGAGCAAACTGCAGGGGCTTGTTTCTTACAGCAAAATATGGAACTTAACCTGGTCAAAAAAAGTATGTAGGCTCTTAAATACCTGACAAGAAAAAAAATAATATTACAAAAATAATCACATGACTTCTTAACATTCCACTTGAAAGACCGCCCTTAAAACAATACATGTCCAACACTGTGCTCAGTAAATCAGTTCACTAACAACTCAGAAGGCAGAGCACGACATCTTAAAGCATGAGCCCTGCCTGACTTGGGTATAACAGAATCCCAGATCTCATGCTATGGTTTGTCATTTTACTGGTTAAATCGTAAATGCAGCAGAAGAAATACATTTTGTTTCAACCTAATGAAGGTTATTTTTATAAAATTGTAAAAGGGCTTTTATTTTATAAAGTAATCCTAGCTGCAATTAGGTATAGGCCAAATTATAAGATGTTTTAATGTTTAAAATCTGTGTCACTATGGTATTAACTACTCTCACCCTCTGACTTAGGATGTTGAATGTTAGCATCTCAGTCCCTGCTCTGCTCTAATTTTGTAGGCATTTCAACAGAACCCTACATATTTCCCCCTTACACCCCAATACCAAGGCTGAAATGATTAAAGCCAAAATTGTCACTCGTGACCAAACTGAGGCACCTAACTCTCCATGTTGCAACTGCTCCTATACCTGTAACTGCTGACAAACTTGTTCTCAGAAGGGAATGCAAAGCAGCCAAAAGAAAAAGAAAGAACTGCTAGGTCTCAGGTAGAACACTTGGGAAAGAGACACATTTAACAGCCACCTGTGAAACAATGGGTTACTGTGACCAGCAAGAAATTGTAAGGACTGGTTGGCAAAGACAAGAACACAAGCAGAGAAGTGAGAAGAACTGCAGGCAGAAACACACTCATCACATCTCTACTCTTAAAAGCTGGAAACTGTAGGCAATTAAGTGAGGTTATGAGCCAAGCTAACACAGCCGCTCAGCAGAGATCACTATCCGAGAGCTACAACAACCAGAAGTCATCTATTTGTGGTTAACAGCATGTGTGAACAGAGAGAACCTGTGCAAGCATCTCTCTATATATTAACTGCTATCTGGCTTGATCCTTGATCACGTCACAATTCTTCTCCAAGCTTCAGAAGAGGAAATGGAAGACTACAGAATACAAAGTAGTAAATCTAGTGAGCAACTTACTGGTAAAATTAAATAGAAGTTCCTCATTAAGAAGTGAAGACAAAAACCTGTGCCCCCTCACAAACCAATACAGACTGCAATTAGAAACTCTATGAACAGGAAAAAGCCTTTCCCAGACAACTGTGATTCACCACTGGGGTCAGAAACATGCCTTCCAATTACCTCAGCTGATTTTTTTTTAATGTGGTTTGCAGACCTACTTGTTTGCCACTCATCAGTAGGTGTTAATTCAACTTCTAAAAATGGAGAAATGTGATATAAAAACCAGTCACTGAATAACAGAGGGTGGGATTTTCTGATACTCGAAACATAGATGCTTACAAAGAGTAGTGAAGCTGACCCGTAGACCAAAGACTACCAGGACATTTTGGGGGCAGGGGGTGGATAATAATAATAATATTAAAAAAATTTTCTAACAACCTCACAGACTCTTCCTCTAGTCTGTGTTTGAAAGATGTACTATGAGTGGGTAGAGCAAGGAGGGACAGAACTGCATCCTCATACTACATGGCATTAGGAGGACGTATGACAGAGCTGTAATTCATACTTGTGAATAACTAGTAAGATTTAAGAGCTATAAACTAAAAATCACTAGTTTTGCATAATTAGTAATCTGTTTGTCCTCAAGAGTTCTTTCAGAATGCCCTTTCTCTTCCTCACAAACTTAAGCCATGTTCTTCTCTACCTTATAAAGCCTTCACCCAATTTGATACTCATTTTTATAGTAATAAGTCTTCTTCAATCACCAGTGACAAAGCTGCACTCACTTTGTTGTATTTTTTTATGTTTTCTCTCAGTGCTGCTTGGTGCTCCTCAAACTTCTGTAAAATTGCACTATTTTTCTTCAATCCCTTCCATGCATTTCTTTGATACAGTGTGCACTGACTGCCCTGCCAGCAAAATATGAGTAACAGCCTTGAACACCCCAGCACTTTCATTAACTCTAGTAATCTACATCTAACACTCTCATTGCTGTTGTAATGCATTACTTTCCATTGCCTTATTTGTGCTCATTTAATTTGTTGTCTCTGGAGCACTTTAAGACAGGAAAGGGAAGAGGGAAAGTATTCATCCTTTGGTGCCGAGAGGGAAGATCCTATCACAATTGGCCTGTGGTCTGTGGCAAAGGCCTCTTTCTTTTATTTCCACAAAATTGCAGGAAATTATGCCTAGTGTCTTCTCCTTTTTGAAGTTTCTTCACCTTCACAAAGGAAAAAAATTATAGCTCCAACCATTTCTGTGTATTCTATAACTTTTTCATCTACTTCATATCTATTTTTAACACTTTACCTCCTTCACTGTAATTTTAACATTAGAAAATCCATCTTTGCCTACTCCAATGTTCCTTAAACACTTTTTTTATAAATAAAGGATAAATTCAAAACACTACACTTCTGAAGCTTACAGAAAAAAAATACATATGAAACAGACCACAGAGACTTCTAGAACTAGCACAACATAAAGATGAAATAAAGCATAAATGACAACACTAAATGGAAACTTACCCTGCTTGTGGGTTCACCATTCCCAATGAGTTTTTATGAGCTGGTGATAATGTCTGAATTTTGCCCCCACTGGATCCAGACGAAGATAGTCCTTTACTTGAAGAGGTACCTTGCAGTTGAAAGCAAGCATGGAAACATAAGAAAATGTAAGATTTTGCTACTGGAATGAATATGTATTTTTAATATATATATTTAATATAT